CTACGACTTTTTACCTTGTGATTGCAAGATAATATCACAGAACTATGAGTTTTTATCTCACTATTGCAAGATAATATCATACATATGAGATTAAAAAAGTCACAACTGAATGATTTTAACTCGCAAAAAAAAAAAAGTCACAATCGTGTGATAGATATGTGTAATATTTTCTTATATGTGATGGAAACAAGCTTCCATAGGTTCATGGTGAAGATGGAAGAAAGAATCCTAAAATAAATCTTTTGACACTAAGCAGCTTTAAAAACATTGTATCGCATCAGCGAGTATAAGAGTACAAACACGTCATCATCAACATGTAACATATAAATCAAAATTCTATCCCATTTTCTAGGCAAGGGTTGTGTTTAAGGTGGTGACTTAAGGAAATCTGGCAACCCACAGAGGCATGAACTAACCCAGGTGATTTTAATAATCGAACTGATGTGCGCAGAAGCTCGACTTCAGTGGGTGTGTAACCTGTTTCTGAATATGAGTAACTTTCCCTCTGTGTTGTTTTTTTTTTTTGTTACAGAAAGTGTGACAAGGACACAAAGTTTTAAACAAATATAAAATAAGTCATTTTAACCCCAGGAGTACAAACGGGTTAATCTGGTCTACTAGCTCTGAGTCCTGGAGCTGTGTGAGGACACTCGGCCCGTTCTGATGGTATTATCATCCTTTTTTAATTTGATCTTTTCGTCCTTTCTTGCATCCCTCCGGCAAGGAGTGCACATCTGTTCCAAAACACGTTTTAAAGATTTTATTATCCTCCTTCTGGATGTCCCTTCCACCATACCACAGCCTACACATACACACGCTCAAGCACACACACACACACACACACACACACAATTTTTTTTTTTTCCTGACTGTCCAGAGGAGTGCTTGAAGGCATGGACAGATGATGCCTGGATGAAAGTGGGAAAAAACATAGTGTTGTGAAGAATACAACTTAAAACATGCTCAGCAAATCAGGCTAATGCACAGTGCAATTCACATGGGAGTAAATTAAACTAACATGCTCGCTTGCTCTCACACACACACACACACACTGCCTGCTCCTCTGGAGCTCTAATAAAATATGGTGGGGCCTTGTGCGATTTATGAGCTCTATCAATTTTCCTCCACCTTCATCTTGTCGCCGGTTTGCTTCTCAGAACCTTTATTAATTGCGTGGCCCAGAAAAGTTAGATTACCAGGAAGAAGGAAGTGCTGCTGGTGCAGGCTGCATGGCAAATAAACCTGCTTTTATTATCACCCATGTGTTCTATATGATAAGTTGTTTTATATGCAGAGCTATTATGCTTTCTAATGAATCTAGTGTTCTGCAGGAGGCATTAAATAGTGACATTTACATGCAGACTTATGCTCAAATTCATTTTACTTGCAACTCTGACACGGAAAAGTGCAATGGAACCATCATTCCACACAGAATTCCAAGTCGGGAACTCGGACGATATCCACCATTCCCAGGTTCTCAGATCTAAACTCGCGTGATGTCACAACAATATGGCAGCACAGCTATTTCCCATTGATATATTTTCTACTTAATATAACATGATTTTACTTAATATGTAGCTTTTGTGTTGTGAAAAGATTTTAGCAACTTTTGTAAGATAAGATTTGTAATGTAATTACACGCAATGTTAATTTCAGTCTGGTTTTACTAACACAATAAGAGCACTGTGACAGATCACTTTTATGAGCACAGCTGAACAGGACACTTGTCCTATCTTATACGACCTTTCTCATTGTTAATCGCACAGAAATAATTCATGCAGCTCTTATTAATATGTTTATCAAATTCAGAGACTAGCCAAACAAATATGACCTTGCTCTGGATATCTGGATATATTATGCTTTAGGCTGTAAAGAATTAAAAAAAAAAATATGGAATGTTACTTGAGGACAACATTAAATACATAAATAAATAGATATTAATTAATATCATTGTCCCTATAATTCCACCGAAATGTTTTATTTTTTATGTTGTTTGTTTGTTTTGTTTTTTTTTTCCATCAGAGGAAACGTCATCTTAATTGAAGTCTTTGCTTATCTCAAGGACCAAATATGGATTCTGGATAAAATGAACTGTAAGTGCAGCAGCTGAGTGCCTGGTCAGCTTATTCTTCAAACCATTGTTGAGTTTTCCTTGCACGAGAGAACATCAAATTAAAAACAGCAGCAGTATTTTATTAATTCACCAAATCAAACTAGCAGATTAAAAGCGTGGTAAAATAGATTACCGTATGCACATTGTGATTTCATGATTTAGTATAGTGTGGATTCATTAAGCAGTGTGCAAAATTAACTAGCAGAGTGCAATATTAAAATAACTAAATAAATAAATAAAGTGCAAAATAATAAGATGCTCTTGATCAAGTACTTTTTTATAAGCTGCTAAATAATGAGCACAGAAGCTATATTGTTAAATTAATCCAAATTTGCAGTGATAATGATTCATGTAGGAATATATTGGCAATACACTAGACTCCTGTTAGATGTTTATATTGATTTTTGCCATCTTCTCAATTTATCATTGTGTTAGTCTTTTTTTTATTTTTCATCTTTAAATTGTCTCTTGCTTTTATGTTTAATCGTATTACATTTGACAGCAAACAAAATAAAACACTAATTTCCTTCTTCAGTCCATATTTTCTATCTCAGATTTTTAAAGGCAGTGGTCTAGATGCTATCAAAAACCCTGGCAACCTCAGAGGTGTGAACTACATGCAGGTCATTTTAATAACCTGAACAGGCCAACCAGAAAATCAGCCTAAACACGTGCGTAACCCAATTCTGAATACAAGGAACTTTCCCAGGGTAAATATTGTGTCACGTCACAGCCTTTCACGGACACAACTTCCCAGCAAGCACAGCGGCCCACAAATATGGCCACCACGGACTCCAATACCCAGAACACACACACGCTTCCCCGCTCGCAATCACCCAGCTTCTAACACAGCACACCTGGGTTCAATCAGGCTCCCACTCACGTACACACTACAAAAGCACTTTCAGGCAGTATACTCTTTGCAAAGTATACGCTCAGTTTCCTAGTGTTCAGTCATTACCAAGCCTTATATATCATGTTTTGATTCTGTTTTTGACCCAGTTTCTGCCCAGTGTTTTGTGATTTTTGCCTTGCCAAGTTTAGCCTGTTTAGTCATCGCCTGAGCTTTTGCCTGTTTTTTGATCTACGATTCTGTATTACCCTTTGGATTGTCTGCCTGGTTTTCTAATAAACTGCACTTTGTACCTGCCATTGGATCCACATCTACTCCTTTATGTGACGTATTGACATAACTTTTGAATTTAATTCACTGACTCTGAATACTAAGTGCTTTATAAAAGATTAGCCACATTACAGAACCAATATAAAATACTACCAACTATAAATCTGTATCATAAAAAGCATATTTAACAACATATGAAAGCCAAGAACTGTGACTAGTCCAAATTAAACAAATGGTTTCAATCTGAATTTAAAAACACATATTGAGCTGCCGTTGAACTTCCAAGCTTATTTATTTTAGGTTAAATATTAAATGTTGTCTATACCATAAGTATGGATGTGTTTATGCCTTTAACATTATTGTGCTTGTCATTTTTCAGGATGAGGACAAGAGTGTTGACAAAAGCCATAACGTGATACAGCAGCGCTAAAAAAAAAAAATAAAAAAATGCTAACACACTCGGGCAGTTGTGAGATTTTAAAAGCAGTTTTATGGAGACGGTGTTGAAAGTTTATGAAGTTCATCTCATCTGTGTCACCTCATATCCCTTCCCTGCTATCTCCAGTGACACGAGAACTTTGGCTAAAGGAAAAATCAGTGCTCGGTGACTGGAATTGAGATGACGGCCGGCGGTCAGGTGTTACATGGCACGGGTCACATGTGCTCACATTAACAACTCTGTTCTTCTGAAAGGCAAGCGAGGTCATGTGACAGTCAGAGAGGATTATCACAGTTCAGATATCAAAGAAAGTTTATTCAGATATTAAACAGCAGAGTCAATATTTATATAGAATTACTGTGAAGCCATTAAGACCTTTTGGAACAATTACCATATCACTTGGGGTTTATTTAAGCAGATTCCACCATCTAAAAATCGATTTGTACCTTGATGCTGCTGCGTATTAATTTTTTGGAGCTTTTGTAACTTTTAATCAATATCCATGACAATGATAATTATCTATACCTTTGTACAAAACAAGCCACAGAAAGTCTAGTCAAGTTAGCATAGTAAAGTCTCAGCTTGACATTCAGTTATTTATCTTTAATCCATATTAAACTGTTATATTAAAATATAGGTCTTCTGACTAGCTAGCTAAAGTTGCTAAGCTAAGCAACTTCTGGCTAGCTAGGTAAAGTTGCTAGCTAAGATGCTCTTCAATCAAAAATCAATCAAAAACAAATCTAATAACTGAGTACACAATTGGCTAAAAAACACTGGAAGAAAAGATTATTGACTAAACACACTGGGGGAAAAAATATTTCCTAAACACTTTGGAAAAATCCTAACTAGGTGGAAACATTGTAAAAGAATTTGGCAGAGAATTGGCAAAACATCAGAAAAAATGATTAAAAAAAACAAAACAAACGTAATTAAATTGTGACTTAGTTTGGCTAGAATGCTTGAATAATTGGCTAAAAAATGTAGTTCTTGGCTAAAAGATATCAGATAAATTTCAGATAAAATTATCAGATAAATTTTGAAAATATATTGAACTTGAGACTTACTTTGGCTAAAATGCTTAAAAAATTGGCTAAAACTATTGGAAAAGGTTATTTGCTGAAACATTGGAAAAGATACTTGATGAATATTGAAGAAAAAAAATACTGGATAAAACCATTGGGAAAACATACTGGCTAAAAACAATGGAAATAAATAATAGCTAGATGAAACATGGTCACTGTTCTTTCTAGATAACATACTCACCTGTGCCTGAATCAAAGTTAAAGAAGATTTTTAAGGTGGTACATTAGCTTAAATAAGGGTCCCTGGAGGACTAGTGGTTAGGCCACAGTGCTCTCACCGCTGCTGCCCAGGTTTGATTCCCAGCAAGGGGACCAACCCCAGCCACTGGGGCTGCATGCAACAGTGTGCTCTCAGTGCTGGTCCCAAGCCTGGATAAAATTGGGGAGGGTTGCATCAGGAAGGGCATCCGGCGTAAAAACTGTGCCAAATCAAATACGCGGACCAATGACCCTCGGTGGTGACTCCTAACAAGAGCAACCGAAAGAGGAACAACAACAACATTAGCTTAAATAAGTTGGAGATCACCACCACCCAACAAGAGCATTATCTAGTAAGCTGGCTTTAAATCATTCTTCCCAAACAAAGCAGCAGAGCTAACATGATGTTAGCAGATGATGAACAGAACCTTGATTATTTGATGTAAAACTGATCATATAGTTGTCATTAATTCATGGGACAATGGTGGTCTCTCCGTTTTGGTATTCAGTGTTTAACTATTTTCCACTCCAGAGCAATTAAATGATAAGTTCCCCAAATTATCATTTCTATATTGTGCTCCAGTATTTGACCAGCAGTCAGGAACAGTGACTATTCTTACCTGAAAAGAGAAAGACGGATGATAACATTGTGGAGTTTAATGCCGGGATGCTGAGAAAGATGCTGAGTCAGCACACACCGGCGCGGAATCATCCATAGCTGCCATCAGAGCTCTCAGAGCTCAGTGTGCACCGGAGGCCTCCTGCATGAGAGGGAAATGACCTGCCTCCACCGCCCTGACACACACTCCGTCTTCAGCTCCATAACTTGGGCTCCTTTTTGCAGGAAGGATAATTTTTATAATTGAGTACTTTGCCTATAGGCACAAATAAAGGTGTTCTCGTCTCCCTGACTAATCACCTCAGGGTGTCATCTGTGAGCAGATCATAAGGATGCGGTGTGTTTGGAAGTGAGTAATGATGATGGCTAAGGATCATCTTCAAACCAAACTGCAGAATGATGAAGCTGCTGAACGTGGACACGAGACACTCAGTCATCTGTTGGAAGTTGATCAGCGCTGCAGGTAAATAGATCAGTTTGACTTGAAGCAGATCTATCTACCAGAGTGACCAAGTAAGCACAAGATGCTTGACCATGGATGTTCCTTACTATCAAGATGAATGGATTTGTGTTTCTGGGAAGAATGAGCTCTCAAGCATATGAGAATGGAGAGCATGACCAGAGGGGGGATTGAGACCATCTTCTTTTAGTGCATCTAACAGCTTGATGAACCATGACACAAGTCACCTTATTGATCTTGTCCAGATGGGGAACAATCTGGACCGAAACTAAGATAAAACATATTCATTAAGGACCTTTATACCCCAATGCTGTTAAATTGTGGATCAATTTTTCCATAACAACAGCTCTAATGGTAGTTCCGGCTATAATGTAAACCACAGATTTTATATTAACACACTCATTCTAATATGTTACGTTTCTATAGTAACAGCTAATTCACAGGGATTTGTATGTATGGTAGACGCTCCACGTAATCTAAGTCTAATAATAAAAAAATTAAACAAAAATGTTGCATATCAAGTGCCACCCTGTTGTGGATTACTTTCCTATAGCAGCACAGGCTGAGGTGTGTTATTCCTTTCTTTGCCCATTATGAAAACTAAATGATACATAAATAATAATTCACCCTTCTCCTCAAAATATGCAATGAAATGTAAGGAAAATGTAATGAGGTGATAGTTGAAGCGCGGAACAAACATCCATATTAGATCTTGCCCAGGCCTACAACTGGTGACAAACAACTGGGGCATGCTTTTATAGGAAAATAATCAACAGCAGGGTGGTGTGATGAAGTAGAGTTACTGTTACCATCTTGTATTTGATTATTTTCCTAAAACAGTACATTCTGAGTGTTTTATTTACCATATAAGGGAGGTTCTTGTATGGTAATGGTCCCAGTAATGAAGGTTCTTGTTGTTTTATCATAGCAACTTTCCAACAATTCCAACAAAGATCAACACATCAGATTTTTTTTATCCATTTATGGTTACAGATAATTTGAGGAACTTTATTCCTGTTCTCACTTATGTTGGATTATTTGGTTATCAGTGGTGTATTGATGGTGTGTTCTCAATATTTAGGTACAATCAACAACAATACTGGAAATTAAAGCCATCCTCGGTACTAGAATTGACCCTGGGCAATGGAAGGAGAAACACCCTAACCCTAACCTAGTTTAATGACTGAAAAGTAAATCAGATTACTCACCAGTCATAATAAGTCATAATAATGAGGAACTTACGGAACTTATGGTGAATAAATGAACCAGGATATGGATTTGTACTACTTAGCCTACCTCAACAGGCAGATTTTGCCCTGGCTACAAGTCGTTCCTGAGGCTTAACTCTTGGCACCACTGGTCCTAATTATGAGTTCTCTCTTATATCTGCACATTCAAAAACAAAATAAAGTTTAATGGGCTGCTGAGGGGCCACTTGAGCGCTCTGAAGCCTTTCATGAGGCAATTAGTTGAGGTGCTGAGTTGGAAAATGATTGCCTTGAATCTTTTTGACTTCCACCCACTAACCATTGACAAGTTTAAAAGAAGGAGCTCATTTTACTTAGGCTTAACTCTTCTTGTATGCATTATTATCTAAATTAAGTAGCCTAGTGATGGGTCAATTGAGGAAAACAGTTGTTTTCCACGAGCAATTTGGACAAAATGCAGCTAATTAAGTTTTACAGATAAGAGCAGTAAGAGCCGTGCTTCTGTGCTGTGTTTTCTCAAGCAGTCGCCATGTTGGAATTAAATTAATTTATCCGCGTGACTTTTAGTGCTCACACTCCAAGCCTGAGAACACAAGATAAACGGAGGGAACTCAGACGAGCCGGCACGAGCTAATCGAATATTGCAGCACAGAGCAGAACAGCATTTTGTCTTGTATTGTGAAATGATGCTGTGCTAACAACAGTGTTGATGAAGCTACTTTATTAGCCTTGCTCGTTTTGTTGGAGAAAATTAAATTAGCAGAGAATCACGGGGGAATTCTCGGCCTCCGTGCTTATTGTTTCAGAAGGATTGAAACCATTCAACACACTCTAGCACTCAGAAAAAAAAGTCCTGGTTTCACATTTTGAGCATGTTTTTGAGCAGCTTTTCTGTAGAGTGCATTGATGCTGTAGCCTGTTTGCATTCTGCAGCTGGTTCTGTGCCAGGAACTGTGCCCCATGCCAGGTGGTGCTTTATTTATCACACAAGCTGAACTAACCTTTAGCTCTTTACACCACCGTGAGCTCAAACCTCCTGCCATGACTTGGCTCTCGGCCCATTTTCCGCTCATCTGCACTGGGGTCAGTCCACTCAGACCCCGAAGTGCTGATTAAAAACTATTAAACCATTGAAAGTTGATGTGCTAATTTGATTATCACAGGGCTGTTAAATTCTCAATTCTGATTGGTCAGAAAGTGTTGATTACTTTACTCTGAAAGCAGCAATAGTCAGCCGCAAACCACAGTTTGATATTAGCATGGTATTGTTTCTATAGTAACGGCTATGGTGGATGCTCCATTTCATCTAATTCTAATAATAAACAGATTGAAAATGCTTTGCTAAGCAAAACTTAGAATTGTTGATATGGTGGAGTTTTCTGTAAGGAGTTGTTTATTTAACATTTATGGAAGAAGTCTCTCGCCTTAGCACATTGTAACAGTCAGAGATAAAGCTCTAATTTTTGGACAATGGGAAAAGTTTATGTTTTGCCGTTTTTTTGGTAACACTGGTAACATGACATGCTGTTTTTTTTTTTTTTGCAATAACTTCAACACGGAAAAAAGGGAGGGTGGTGAGGGAATGACTGGTTATAGCTGCTATAACATAAATGAAAACAGGAACTTGTTTCATGGATTTTCCAACAACATTAAAAGTAACTATAAATGGATAAAAAGCATGAAGTTAATAAATATTGTTAGTGTTAGCAAATGGCTGTGGTATAAGAGAAATAAAACATTATGTATCATTGTGTAATAGGAAAATAATCAACTTTGAGGGTGGTAACAGTAACTCTGCTTCATCACTGCACCCTGTTGATTATTTTCCTATAACGACATGCCCCCAATTGTTTTATTCCTTCCTATACAAAACATCCTTCTCATTGTCACTTCACAATTTTCCAAAAATGTGACAATGTGTTGTGATGTAATTGTGTTGTGAGAAATGTAATATCTTTAGCCTCATTCTTAACAGATCCATCTTGGATCAAACAGTGTTACAGAGTCAAAATCGCTAAACCGCGCCAAGCCCTTGGTGAGGAGGTCATTCCCCACATTAACAGGGGCACTGGTCTGTCGAAGAGCACCCATGACTTTGCTGATTAATAGACCAGGCTGGCGCACTGCAAGAAGAAGATAATGAAGGAAGTAATGCCCTGTGTGTTCTAGCCCGTGTTCCAGCCTTTATCTGGGTGACATTTAATGATCAATCATTCCGGCTGCAGTTGGATGCAGCTTGTCTAAATCGCAGCTCACTTCCACTCACACTTCCCACTCCATTCCAATAAGAGCTCGTTTGGTCAGTCCCTAAACGCAGCCTGCAGTCTTCCTCCTCCACACTCCCTCACCATGATGATTTTGCATCATACCTCATCATACATCTTTACTCTATAAGCAGTGATAGTGAGAGCTTCAGCATTAACATGTGTCTCTGTTCTTTAGGTAGCAGGTGGCTAAGAGACACAGCTGTGGACACACACACACACAGACACACACTCAGTTTGTGATGGTTGGTGGTCTGTAGGAAGAAATAAGACAGATGTGTGTGTTTTTGTTTTTGGTTCAGGCTTCATGACAGTGCCAACTGTCAAGTCCCAATGAAGGAGGCATGGTCTTTGTGCTTGTCAGTCCCAGTGAAGGATGAAGACTTTGGTACCTATCAGTTCGATTGAAGGAGGTGTGGCCTTTGTGATTGTCAGTCACGGTGAAGCAGGTGTGACCAGTGAAGGAGGCATGGCTGCTATGTGAAGGAGGTGTGGCCTGTGTGCTTGTCAGTCGTTATGAAGGAGATAGAGGTGTGGCCTCATTCCTTATGAAGGAGATGTGG